TCCCCGCCCAGCCCCCTCCCGGGCCCCCCAGCCCCGTCCCAGTGCTCCCAGTCTGACCAGTAAGGCCGGGGGCAGGCGATGCGCTGGGCCGAGGCGCGGCACACCAGCAGGCAGTTGCAGGGGCACCGCACATACTTCTTCCCGCCGGGGGCCGTGCGGATTGGCTGCCGCCGCGCGGGGGGGCGGGGCCTCAGCGGGACACGCCCCCCGACCCCCGGAACCGCCCACTCCAGGACACGCCCCTCAATCACCCAAACCCCGCCCCAACCCGGCTGAGGCCACGCCCTATTCACTCAAGATACCACGCCCACTTCTCCTCCCCAAGCCACGCCCCCTGAGACCACACCCAACTCAGGCCACGCCCCCATACGCCACGCCCACACTCTACCTCCAAGCCCCACCCACTCTGGCCACACCCAATCACATCACGGCCCAAAGGCCACGCCCCCTTACACTCCATCACTGCAAGCCCCGCCCACTCTGGCCACACCCAATCCCCGCCCCGCATCACCAATAAAGCCCCGCCTCCCCGCAGGCCCCGCCCCCGGCTGGCCCCGCCCAATCCCCGCGCTTCCCGCCCCCATCAGGCCCCGCCCACGGCTGGCCCCGCCCAATCCCCGCCCTTCCCGCCCCCAGCAGGCCCCGCCTCCCCGCAGGTCCCGCCCCCGGCTGGCCCCGCCCCCTCACCGTGGCCTCGCCACACCCCCCGCACTTGACCACGTGCTGATGCGCCTTCCCCTCCACGCTGATTGGCCGCTGGCACACGCGGCACGTGACCGCCGGCGGCCCCGCCCCCGCCGCCTCGGGGCTGCCCAGCGGCGAGAAAGGGGGCGGGGCCTCGCCTGGCCCCGCCCCTCCGCCGGCTGTCAAAACGGAGCGGCGCGGTCAGCCACGCCCCCCGACAGACCACGCCCCTCGTCCCGAGCGGCCCCGCCCCATTCCCTCTCTCCGTCTCTCACCGGCGGCCGCGGCCCCGCCCGGGCCCGGCCCCGCCTCGGGCGGCAGCAGCGGCGAGCGCTCCCCGTCCGCCATGATGACAGCGCGCCGGGACACGCCCCTCCGCCAGCCATTGGTCCGCGGGGCGGTCACGTGAGGGCGGCCCACCGCCCTCGGCGGGCTCCCATTGGTTCCGCGGAGTCACGTGGCCTCCGGCCCCGCGGCGTTGCCAGGCAACGCCTCCCTGTCCCTTCCGCGGCTCCGCGCGCTCCCATTGGCCCTCCCGCCCCATGTGACGCTCCCCGCCCCCGCCCCGCCCCCCGTTGCCATGGCAACACCCCCCTCTCACGCGCTGCTTTTCCGCGTTCCCCACCCCGCCCTCCCATTGGTCGCTGCCGCCCTCACGTGATTTCCCACCACCGCCTCCCCCTTTCCGAGCCCTCCCATTGGCTGACTCCCCCGCGCGCCGCGCTCCCATTGGTGGACGCCCCCGTCGGGCCGTCGCCATGGCGACGGCGCGCGGGGCGGTGCGGCCGCTGATTGGCGGAGGCTCGGGGGCGAGTGACGTCAGAGGGCGGGGCCGTTTATAAGCGGCGGTGCCGGGGCGGCGGCGCAGACGCTGCCGGGATGGACGGGAGGTGAGACCGGGGGGGGGGGCGGATTTTGGGGCGAATTCCGGGGATTTCGGGGCATTTTTGGCGATGGGAGGGGCGGGGGCAGGCGGATCGCCAAATGGGAAAGAGGGCGGTGGGTCTGGCGCCGCCGGCGCGGCCAATCAGCGCTCAGAGGGCGTGGCCAGGGGGATTAAAGACCCCCCCCCTAGTTAGGATGGAGGGGAGGGGGGAGGATTTTGGGGGGTTTTGGGGTTTTTGGGGATTTTTGGGGTTTTTGGTGGGGCGGGACGGCGCCCGCCCTGTCCCAAGTCCGCCTGGCCCCGGGCCCGGCCGCGGGGCGAGAGTCAAGGTCGGGCGGGCGGGAGGGGTTGGGGGGGGATGGGGGCATTTTGGGGGTCCCGGGGTCATCCCGGGGTCATCCCGGGGGTCCCGGGGGTCAAACTGGTCCATGGTGGTCCAAACTGGTCCATCCTGGTCCATGGTGGTCCATACTGGTCCATCCTGGTCCATACTGGTCCATGGTGGTCCATCCTGGTCCATGATGGTCCATACTGGTCCATCCTGGTCCACACTGGTCCATGGTGGTCCATACTGGTTCATGATGGTTCATACTGGTCCATACTGGTCCATGATGGTCCTTAGTAATTTGTACTGGTCCATACTGGTCCGTCCTGCTGCCAAACTGGTCCATACAGGTCCATCCTCATGCTACACTAATTCATACTGGTCCATCCTGGTGCCAAACTGGTCCATCCTGGTCCATCCTGGTCCATCCTGGTGCCCTATTGGTCCATCCTGGTCCATGATGGTTCATGATGGTCCATGATGGTCCATACTGGTCCATAACTGGTCCATAACTGGTCCATACTGGTCCTTAACTGGTCCATGATGGTCCATACTGGTCCATGATGGTCCATCCTGGTCCATACTGGTCCATGGTGGTCCGTAGGAATCTGTACTGGTCCATGCCAATTTATACTGGTCTATACTGGTCCATACTGGTCCCTAAGAGGTCCATTCAGGTCCATAACTGGTCCATACTGGTCCCTAACTGGTCCATACTGGTCCCTAACTGGTCCATACTGGTCCCTAACTGGTTCATACTGGTCCGTACTGGTCCCTAACTGGCGCCTGTCCCCCCCAGTTTCGAGGCGTGCGCCGAGGCCGCGCGCTGGCTGCAGGCGCAGTTCCGGGAGCAGCCGCGGGTGGCGCTGGTGTGCGGCTCGGGGCTGGGGGCGCTGGCGCAGGACGTGAGCGAGGCGCAGAGCTTCGACTACCGCGACATCCCGCACTTCCCCCGCAGCACCGGTACTGGGATGGACTGGGAGCACTGGGAGGGACTGGGAGCACTGGGGGCACTGGGACAGACCGGGGTCACCGGGGTTACGGGGGTTACTGGGAGCACTGGGATGGACTGGGAGCACTGGGAGGGACTGGGAGCACTGGGGGGACTTGGACAGACTGGGGTTACGGGTGTTACTGGGAGCACTGGGAGGGACTGGGAGCACTGGGGGGACTGGGGGGACTGGGAGGGACTGGGAGCACTGGGAGGGACTGGAGGGACTGGGAGCACTGGTTTTGGGGGGATTTGGGGCAGTTTTGGGGTGGTTTTGGGGTTTTTTGGGGGTTTGGGGCGGGGCCAGAGCTCACCTGGCGCTCGGAGTGGGCGTGGTGACCCCCGGCCCCGCCCCCAGTGCCGGGCCACGCCGGGCGATTGGTCGTCGGCCGGCTGGGCTCCGCCCCCTGCGCCATCCTGCAGGGCCGGTTCCACCTGTACGAGGGGTACAGCTCCACCCAGGTGAGGCGGGTCACGGGGCCACGCCCACACCTGGGACACGCCCACACCTGGGGCCACGCCCACACCTGGGGACACGCCCACACCTGGGGACACGCCCACAACTGGGGGATCCACACACCTGGGGACACGCCCACACCTGGGACACGCCCACTCCAGGGACACGCCCACACCTGGGGGGATCCACACACCTGGGGCACGCCCACACCTGGGACACGCCCCCTTTCCCTGCCCCCATCTTCCCCACACCGATCCTTTAGCCACGCCCCTGGCCACACCCTTAACCCCACCCTGACCATGCCCTGACCACACCCTGACCACACCCTGGTGCTGACCACACCCTCCCTGGCCCCTCCCCAGCTCGTGATCCCGGTTCGGACGCTCGCCCTGCTGGGCGTGCACACCCTGGTGCTGACCAACGCCGCCGGCTCGCTCCGGCCGGGGCTGGAGCCCGGCCACCTCCTGGTCATCCGCGACCACATCGACCTGCCCGGCCTGGCCGGACGCTCGCCCCTCGTGGGGGCCAACGATGACCGGTGCGCGGGGTTTGGGGGGAGACGGGGGGAAAAAGGGGTTTGGGGTGAGAAAAGGGGGTTTGGGGTGAGAAAAAGGGATTTGGGGTGGAAAAGGGGGTTTGGGGTGAAAAAATGGGGATTTGGGGGGGGAAAGGGGGATTTGGGGTGAAAAATGGGGATTTGGGTTGGAAAAAAGGGGGTTTGCAGTGAAAAAGGGGAATTTGGGGGGGAAAGGGGGGATTTGTGGGAAAAATGGGGATTTGGGGTGAAAAAATGGGGAAAGGGGGGGATTTGGGGTGAAAATGGGGGTTTGGGGTGAAAAAAAGGGGACAAAATGGGGATTTGGGGTGAAAAAGGGGGGATTTGGGGGGGGAAAGGGGGATTGGGGTGGAAAAGGGGGTTTGGGGTGAAAATTAAGGGGGATTTGGGGGGAGAAGGAGGGATTTGGGGTGGATAAAAGGGGATTTGGGGTGAAAAAAAGGGGGATTTGGAGGGTAGGTGGGGCAGGCTTCTTTTGGGGTGAGAACGAACAGATTGAGGCAGACAGGGACAGTTTTGGGGTGAGAATTGACAATTTGAGGCAGACGGGGCCAGTTTTGGGGTGAGAATTGACAATTTGAGGCAGACGGGGCCGGTTTTGGGGTGAGAATTGACAATTTGAGGCAGACAGGGCCGGTTTTGGGGTGAGAATTGACAATTTGAGGCAGACGGGCCCGGTTTTGGGTGAGAATTGACAATTTGAGGCAGACGGGGCCGGTTCCGGGGTGAGGACGGCCGGTGCCGTGCCCCGGCAGGTTCGGGCCGCGGTTCCCGTCCATGCTGGACGCCTACGACCCGGCGCTGCGGCGCCTGGCGCTGGCGCTGGCGCCCAAGGAGCTGCGGGCGCGCTCCGGGGTCTACGTGGGCGTGGGGGGCCCCAGCTACGAGACCCCCGCCGAGTGCCGGTACCTGCGGCGCGTCGGCGCCGACGCCGTCGGTGAGGAGAGGGGCGGGGAGGGGGCCCCAAATCCGCCCCGAAAAGATCCCAAAAGAGTCCCGAAAGAATCCTGAAAGAGTCCCAAAAAAATCCTGAAAGAGTCCCAAAAAAATCCTGAAAGAGTCCCGAAAAAGACCCAAATCAGACCCAAAAATGCAGCCCCAAAGTGACCCCAAATCCAGATCTAAATCCAGCCCCAAATTCTGCCCCAAATCCAGCCAAAGTGACCCCAAATCCAGCCCCAAATCCAACCCCAAAGTGACCCCAAATCCAGCCCAAAATCCAGCCCCAAAACAGCCCCAAATCCAGCCCAAAATCCAGCCCAAAATCCAGCCCCAAAACAGCCCCAAATCACCCCAAATCCAGACCCAAACAGCCCCAAATCACCCCAAATCCAGCCCCAAACAGCCCCAAATCACCCTAAAACAGCCCCAAAAAAGTCGGAAAGCACCCCCAAATCACTCCAAACCCCCCTGAGTTTGGGGTCAGCGCACTCCAGGTGTGTGCTCAGGTGTGCCCAGGTGTGCTCAGGTGTGCCCAGGTGTGCCCAGGTGTATGTCTGGGTGTGCCCAGGTGTGCCCAGGTGTGCTGAGGTGTATGTCTGACTGTGCCCAGGTGTGTCCAGGTGTGCTCAGGTGTATGTTTGGGTGTGCCCAGGTGTGTCCAGGTGTGTCCAGGTGTGCTCAGGTGTGCCCAGGTGTATGTTTGGGTGTCTCCAGGTGTGCTCAGGTGTGCCCAGGTGTGCCCAGGTGTATGTCTGGGTGTGGTCAGGTGTGCCCAGGTGTGCTCAGGTGTGCTCAGATGTATATTTGAGTGTGCTCAGGTGTGCCCAGGTGTGCTCAGGTGTATATTTGGGTGTGCTCAGGTGTGCTCAGGTGTGCTCAGGTGTATATTTGGGTGTGCCCAGGTGTGCCAGGTGTGCNATTTGGGTGTGCTCAGGTGTGCTCAGGTGTGCTCAGGTGTATATTTGGGTGTGCCCAGGTGTGCCAGGTGTGCTCAGGTGTATATTTGGGTGTGCCCAGGTGTGCTCAGGTGTGCTCAGGAGTATATTTGGGTGTGCTCAGGTGTGCCCAGGTGTGCTCAGGTATATATTTGGGTGTGCTCAGGTGTGCCCAGGTGTGCTCAGGTATATATCTGGGCATGCCCAGGTGTACCTCTGGCCGTGCCCGGCCACGCCCCGCTGTGCCCCCGTGCCCACCCACGCCCGCCCTTCCCCACGCACAGGTATGAGCACGGTGTCAGAGGCGTCGGCCGCGCGGCACCTGGGGCTGCGCGTGCTGGGGCTGTCGCTCATCACCAACATCGCGCCCGCCGACGAGCTGGACGATGACGACGACGACGCCGAGGCCGAGGCCGAGGCCGCCGCCGCCGCCGCGGCGCACTCGGGGCACGAGGAGGTGCTGGCGGCGGCGCAGGAGGGCGCGCGGCACCTGCGGGCGCTGCTGCTGGCCCTGGCGCCGCAGCTGGACCAGCCCGGGCGGCGCCGCGCCGGGCCCGAGGCGCCGTGACGTCACCCGGGGGGCGTGACGTCACATCCGGGGGCGTGACGTCACATACAGGGGACGTGACATCACATCTCGGGGTGACGTCACATCTGGGGGTGACGTCACATCTGGGGGCGTGACGTCACATACAGGGGGCGTGACGTCACATCTGGGGGTGACGTCACATCCGGGGGGCGTGACGTCACATACAGGGGGCGTGACGTCACATCTGGGGGTGACGTCACATACAGGGGGCGTGACGTCACATCTGGGGGGTGACGTCACATCTGGGGGCGTGACGTCACATACAGGGGGCGTGACGTCACATCTGGGGGTGACGTCACATCTGGGGGTGACGTCACATCCGGGGGGCGTGACGTCACATCCGGGTGTGACGTCACATCTGGGGGTGACGTCACATCTGGGGGCGTGACATCACACATGGGGAGGTGGCGTCACATCCGGGGGGGTGACGTCACATCTGGGGGGTGATGTCACATCCGGGGGGGGGGGACGGGGGGGGGGGGGGTGACGTCACGCACGGGCGGTTCCGTGTCGTCCCTGCGACTCCAGGCGGTGCCTTGATCCCGTGGGGGTCCCCCGGGAATCCCCCGGGAATTTCCTGGGAATCCCGTGGGGATCCCCCTGGGATCTCCCGGGAAATCACCTGGGAAATCCCTTTGGAATGCCCTGGGGATTCCCCTGGAGAAATCCCTTGGGAATCCCCTGGGAATTTCTTGGGAATCCTGTGGGGATCCCCCTGGAATCTCCCGGGAAATCACCTGGGAAATCCCGTGGGAATCCCCTGGGAAATCCTTTGGGAATCCCCTGGGGAAATCCCTGGGGAAATCCCTTGGGAATCCCCTAGGAATTTCTTGGGAATCCTGTGGGGATCCCTCTGGAATCTCCTGGGAAATCCCCTGGGAAATCCTTTGGGAGTCCCCTGGGGAAATCCCTTGGGAATCCCCTGGGAAATTCTTTGGGAATCCCCCGGGAAATCACCTGTAAATCACCAGGAATCCCCTGGGAAATCCCTCTTGGAATACCCTGGGAATCCTGTGGGAATTCCCTCGGGAATCCCCTGGGAAATCCCCTTGTGAATGCCCTGGGAATCCCCCGGGGAATCCTCTGGGAATCCCCTGGAATTCCTGGAAATCCTCAGGAAATCCTTGGGAATCCCCCGGGGAATCCTCTGGGAATCCCCCGGGAATCTCCAGGAAATCCCCCGGGAATCCCATAACGTTCCCATGACATTCCCATGACATTCCCGTGTCGTTCCCGTGGATTGGATTTTGCCTTAATTCCCTGGGAATCCATGAAATTCCGCATCATGGATTCCGCGTCATTAATCCCAACTCGTTAATTCCGTGTCATTACTGCCCTGTTATTAACTCCGTGTTATTAATCGCGTGTCATTAATTCCGTGTCATTAATTCCGTGTCGTTAATTCCGTGTCATTGATTCCGAATAATCAATTCCATGTCATTAATCCAAATTCATTAATCCCTGTCATTAATTCTGTGTCGTTAATTCCATGTCATTAATTCCAAATCATCAGTCCCATGTCATTAATCCCAAATCATTAATCCCAATTAATTAATCCCAACTCATTAATTCCGTGTTGTCCCGGTCTTTGTCCCCTCTGGATTTTGCCTTAATTCTGTGTGATTAGTTCCGTGTAATTAATTAATTCCCATGTAATGAATTAATTCCTGTGTGATTAGTTCCACGTAATTAATTAATTCGACCCCCATGTAATTAATTCCACATCCGTCCTGTGTGCGTCTCCCCAGCGCATTAATTAGCGCCCGTTAATGAGCGGTGAACTCTCAGGGCGAGGTACGCGGTTAATCGACTGATTGATTAGTCCAGGCTAATTAATCCCCTTGAATAATCGTTCCAGGTTCGTTAGTCTCATTCCAATAATTATTCCTGGCAGTAGAGCGCCATTGATCATTCCAGGTTAATTAATCCTTTAATTGTCCCGGATTAATTAGCCCACCCTGTTAACTACTCCAGGTCCATTAGTGCTGTTACTAACTATTAATTAGCTGCTGCAATTAATTATTTAAGGCTATATCGCTTCTCAATCGATTATTCAGGATAATTAATGTCTAATGATTAGTTAGCCCAGGCCAATAATTTATTCAAAATTCGTCAGCCCCCCAACTAATTGTTAGTGCTTCATTTTCCCCACAGATTAATTAATTCAGGGCTAATAATCGCCATCAATTAATTAATCAATGCTAATGACGCCCGCAAATAATTAGCAAAGGCCAATTAATCATACCGATTAATTATCCTGATTGAGGCTGCTGCTTTCAGGGGCTTGATTAACCCCAGAGGTTTAATTAATCAACGATCGGAGGTTAATTAGCCAACCCAGTTCTCCTTTGCACGGTTCATTAATTGATTCATTAACGAATCGTTCCAGCTCGTTTACATTCCAGGCGCCCCTCCCATCGCTGCAGGCCAGTTAATTGATTGATGAACGAGTAATTAATGAGGGGAGGGGGCGTGGCCTTAATGAGGGCGGGGGGGGGAAACGTTGATTAAGAAGTTGATTAAAAGTTCATTAAAGCGAAAGAAACTCGATTAAAAGTCGGAAAAAACTTAAATTAAGAGTCGAGTGACGTTAATTAAAAGCCGGGCGGGCGTTAATGAGTGCGGAGGGTTTAATTAAAGTAATGAGAGGGGTGCGCGGG